TATCACAACACGAATCCCAAGGTCAAGCACATGAAAGTCAAAGAGCTGAGAGCTTACAAGAAGATCAAGACGGGGCCAGGGTATCAGGCGCATTTTGCTCAGGCGGCCAAGAAGGCAGTCGGAGACACGATGGCGGTCAGTGCCGTCGGCACCATCACCAACGGGTCGCAAGCGCAGCAGTTCTAACACGCGGCTTTGAATTGGTGGGGTTGAAGATGGTTTGGGGGAACACCGTAGAGCTTCTCCCCGTAATGAAGCTCCCCCTTTTGCCAACAACGATCTCGCTAGAGCATCGTCAAATAGAAAGAGTTTGTCACATTTCCTGGCCTCTCTATCTCGTCTACAGGACACGGACCATTTGTCCCCCGTCTTCCTGCCTTTTGCCCCAAATATCCAAGCATCACCCATCCAGCCCCCTCTTATTTCCCCTCTACCCTCACCTTCTGACCGACATCCCCCGCCTTCATGCAGAGGGGAAAAAGAAAAGAGAAAAAAGAAAAAGCGCTCACCAAGCTATCCCGACTTCGCCTGGCTGCCTAGCTAGCTAGCTAGCTAGCCGTGTATGCAAAGTAGCACAGGCACAGCACCTTGCACACCTACGTCCTCTCCCCTTCTCTCCCACTCTGCCAACGACCAGCCAGCCAGACGAGAGGATCATCAACTGATAAACCATGCGATGCATGTAATTTCTCCTCCTTCTGCCTCTGCTGCTGCTGCTGGTATATTCCAAATTGTTGGGAATGGAGTGGTGTCTGCATGCCACCTAAGCAGAGAAGTGGCACAGGGCCCCCGGGGAACAACCATATATGAGTGATGAAGTTGAGATGATTATCAAGTAACAGACAGAGAGTAGGTGAGACCAAGCAGAAAAGGGGGGGGAAGGGATGGAGCTGATTGATTGATTTTACCTTTTGCGTGAGAACGCCAGGGCATGTAAACAAAGGGTGGTTTGGATATGAATATAGACATAAGACTCCCTCCCCTCCCTCTCTCTTTTCTCCTATAGGGGAAAATTTATCCTTCAAACTAAATTTCAAGGGCTTACCTACAGATGAGGGTGTCAGGGGGTAAACAATGTGAGAATGGGAAAAAGGAGGGGCAGGAAGAAGGGCTTTCCAAGGCTCTATTTCCTGCCTTCTATCTCCAAAAGCCCGCCCTTTCTATTTAGTTTTAAGGAGCACCCCGGTGCTTACCAGGCCATATCCTTCCCATGATAATCAATCCCTAGGCAATCCCTCAAAAACCCTCCGAAACACTTCACGCCCATTGTACAGGTTCTGCACTCTCATTCTCTCGTTTTCCAGATGCGCGTGATCGCTCGCTTGGCCACAGGGGAACATGGCTGCAGGGGCGTTGAATTCCTTTTCGAGGAAGCTGATCACGGGGATGGAACCGCCTTCCCGGATGTAGAGGGGCCTTTTCGGCATATTTTCCGGTGTGTAGGTAAGGCCAGTGGAGGCGAGGGAGGATGTACGACGGTTTGTGGGACGGTGCATGGTCTGTGTTTTCGATTGGGGAATTGTGGGCTTGATGGGGGAGGAGGAGGTGGTGGTGGTGGTAGATGGCCGGCGGAATGTTCGAGATGGTGAAGCATTAGTGCTGGGCATTGATTTTGTGGAAGATGCCGGATTCCATACTGCTGTGATAGCCTGGTCAAGAATCTGAAAGATCTCATTGTTGGGATCTCCAAGCCACGCGTCGGCTTTCGAAGAAATGTGGACTTGGAGCTTGTTTGTGCTTCCGAGATCGTGGAACAGGTTGGATGTATATTTTGTGAGTGCCGTCGCGATGGTCTCGGCGTCTTGGTTTGGAACAATTCGTATCGAGAGGTCAGCCTCGGCATAACTGGAGATAGTGACGGCAGCTTTGGATTCCGGGACCATAATTCGATGAATTGTCAGGTTTGGCTCTCGCCAACGTTGTGTGAGGGAGTCCGTGAATGCTATTGCATCTTTGATTTCAGGATGGCCCGGCATGAGCGCAGATATGATAGCATCGTAGCGCTTCTTCTCATCCCTGTCGAGTTGTGCAACGTGATCGTAGAACCCAGGAATGTTGGCTTTGGTCCCTGTTTCCCCAACAAGACCACTAAGGAGAACGGTCAGATCCTTCAGCGGTTCATGTAGGGTTGACTTTCCGTCCATGCCGCTGTGACGGTCGGGAAGACCACTGGAAATGCAGATACGTGCGTGGACAACTCCGCGCATGCCATATGTCAGGCAAGGGATGTGATCATCCAGCCAATAGCTGTTAGACAGCAGTATCCAGTCGACCTCACCAATGAGACTTCGGTTTTCCTGAACTACTTTGGTAAAGCCTCTCGAGCCTGCCTCCTCCTCGCCTTCAATTAGGAAGGTGACATCACAGTTCAGCGCTTGATTTTGTGTGAGATCAGCCACCGCATATAAAGCAGCGAGAATTGGTCCTTTGTTGTCAGTGACTCCTCTACCATAGAGATAGCCATTGAGCGGACGTAGCGAGAATGGATCAGTATCTGGCTTCTCATTTCCGTCTACGGTGTATTCAGCATCCACGACGTCGTAGTGGCCATAGAACAAGACAGTCTTCCGTGCTCTCGACGTATCTGAGGCCTCAAATTTCGCAAACAAGATAGGATTTACTCCTTTACTCGACGAAAGCAAAGCAGTCTTGGCATTGAAGAGGTCAAAGAGTTTTCGTAGAAATGTCGCCGCTTCATTGCATTGTCCAGCGTATTTCGGTATGCCAGGGACGGTGCGGAAGGCCACGAAGTCTCGTAGGGAGTTTACCATTTCATCTGACAGTCACATTAGTGACTGCTGAACACTATAAAATAAGCTTCACCTACCATTTCCATAGGGTAGTTGCTTATCAGAGGAGTTAGAGCTCCTGCTCACGTCCCAGAATGTGGCAACACAGTCATTGCCTCCTGTTACCAAGATGTCTTGATCATGTAAGCGTGTTCGAGTCGACGATAGGATCTTTCCAGTGTTGGCCGTCCAGTCCCCCACTTCGGAGAACTGGGAGTTGAATTGCTATATAATCGGTCAATATGACTGAGAGGTCCTCTTTGGCGCAATCCCGCACCTTCAAATGACCATTGCTGGTGCCGCAGAAGGCTGTTCGGTTCATGACTTGAATCGTGGTCACGTCATCAGAACCGATATTGATCTTTTGCACAAGCTGTTGCGAGTCCAGATTGTACACCTGTACTAGGCCACTCGCAAGCCCCGCATAAAGAAACGTTCCATCATGTGTTAGACTCAGCACACTTGAACAATTATTCCTAAACTTGTAAATAGCCACCAAGCCAACCGTTTCTAATTCATAGAGTGACCATATTTTAATGGTCCCGTCACCACCTCCAGTAACAAGTACCTCCATTTCTGCATGGTGGTGCCGGAGACCTTGAGCGAGTAACATGCAATACACATAGCTTGAGTGTGCATATGCTTGGTAGTTACTTCTGGGAAACGTTACTAGTTGGCCGCCCGTGGTAGGTACAACATGGCTGCCAGCTGGAAGTGGCGTGACGGTGCCTCCGGGTCCTAACGAATCGAAGAAACGATGCTTGCGGTTGGCTGGAAAGGTGGCCGAATGCGGTGTCAGGTTCTTGGATCCGAGGTCAAACCACTAAATTCGTCAGCTTCCAAGCCTTTCTCGATGGGAAAGCATACCTGCAGAGACTGGTTTTGTGAACCACAGAATAGAGTGTTCAGGCAAGTCGAATACGCTACACAGAAGACATCCCCGATGTCATGATGTGAGTAGATGGAGAACAGGCGTGTTAGGTTGTGAGCGGACCAGACCTGGCATTTTTCAGCATGACGGGTGAACAGGGGGAAATGGTTCGTACGTTTACGACTGAGTCCACCCCAGAGGAGAATAGGAGTTGCTTGTCCTCCGATAAGAACAATGCCAGTACACTTTCAGCATGTGCATGCACAGTAAAGACCTTCTCGAAGGTTTCCAATGACCAAACCTACCTCACACAACAGTTAGGCATGAAATTTGTTCGAGAGCGCCGGGACCTGCTGCCCTTCAAAGACGCATGGCCGTTTACATACAGCAATGTCACCTCCTTCTAGTCCGGCGAATAGATATTCATCATCAACCACCAGGGCTAGAATGCTCCTTTCGGCCTCAACCTGGTGGGCCACAGAATGCTCGACGTTCTTCGCTGACTTGATTGCACCGATATCAATGCCAGGCCTGAAGTCGTGGTCTGAAGCCACACATAAGGTGTCGTCGTCCTCATCATCATCCTCGTCATCAGAGCTAGAGGAGACGTCATGTTGGTGGAGTGGGTCCAAATCATTTGCCTGTGGCTCTTGATCGATACCAGCCATAACGAGCGAAAGGGACCCCCGAGGACATGTATTTCTGTACTGATTTCGGAGAGGGTTAGTAATTAGTTTAAATCAGCAGGCGGGCGGTGCGCTGTGGCGGGAAAAAGCTAGTAAAGCCGGAGGAGTGGTTCGGGGGGCTACGGGCGCTAACTCACCCACGGTGGGGCCGCATCTTCCTCATCTTCCTCACCGGCAGCGAGTTTTTTCAGCACACGTCTGCTGGTGCACATGTTGACGCAACAACGCTACGAGTTGGGAGGCAGTTGGAACTGCCAAACTGACTGAAACCCCTGGCAATGGTTTTGTAATATTGCAGAACTTTGTTTGACATCACAAATGAGTGCGCAAACACTGCGTTTGAACCGATACCCATATGCATAGCCGCCTCCCTGTTGGTACACGGCCTGCCAAAAGACCATGCTTCCACAACACCTGTGTGTCTGCATCCTTTGCCCTAATGCTTGGAACTGTCCGTTCTATGATCACCATCCTTCGACAACCTTGAGCTTGATGTGCATGCCGTCCCTTGGACGTGCTGTGACACCACCCTGGATCTTAATCTCCTCGTTCGGATCTCTCATCTCAAACTCGAACTTGCCCACCAAAGCGGCAAGAAGACACGCGAATTCTCCTTTTGCAAAGTTTTGGCCAATGCAGCTTCTTGGTCCGTGTAAGAAGGTCAGCATAGCATAATTGCTTTCTGCTCCTCCAGTATTAGCTCTTCCGGATCCCATCCATCGATCAGGGTTGAACTCAAAGGCGTCCGGACCCCACAACTCTTTGCTGAAATTGACTGCCCATGGGCAAAGGATGATTTTAGTTCCTTTGGGCACGTAAGTATCGGCGATGGTGCAATCGTTGGCAGTATCACGCAAGGTCAGAGGCACGGGTGCATTGTGACGGAGGGTCTCGTTGCAAACGGCATGGAGGTACGGGATATTATCGAGCTTAGCTGCGTCTATTGGTTCGTGCAGGGATTGAATGTTAGCATGTATCTCTTCTCGCAACCGCGTCTGAACTTCTGGCTTTTTGCAAAGCTCGTAGACGGCCCACGTCAACGTCGATGATGTGGTCTCATGGCCAGCGGCAACGAACGTCATCATCTGATCCACAAGATTCTCATCACTAAAGCCACCAGATTCGAGAGCAACAGAGATGATATCGATATCCCGCTTCTCGTTCTTCTCCATTGCTGCTTTCTTCTGGCGAATAAGATTTCGGCTTATAGTACGTATGACCCGCTGAGCTGCGAACATGTCGTCGTTACGCTTGATCGGAAGATTCGGAATGATCTTCGGGTGGATGAACATTGATAGAAGACCCAGCCACTGTTGCTCTTTACTGGGTGTAAAGATTTTCCCGTAAGTCGTATTTAGCTCGGTGTTAGGGTTCTGAAGGGCACCAAAGTCCTGACCTAGCCCAGCAACACCGATGATGTCCAGGGTGGCTCGACTCGCCCAACCACCAATCTCGACAACATCATCAGGCGCCTTCTTATCGAGTTCTGTCTGCAAGGCCTCAACAAACTCCCTCGATTTCGACCAGAATACTGGATACAAATCCTTGATATGGCGAAAATTGAAAGCTGGCATAAGATTCTTACGCTGAGTCTTTGGAATGTGTCAATAGCATTACTATCAAGCAGGAACAAACAAACCTTGTGCTCATCACCCTCAGCAAGCAGAATGCTAACACCCAGAATTCTTCCCAGTCCAATAAGTAATTGTTTTGGCTTAATAAAGTTATAGCTTTTTGTGGTCAAGACCTCACCAAGAGCCTTCGGACTGGTAATCAACAGGCGTTCCGTGTTGAACATATGTCTGCAGAAAGTCAGCAAACAATAGTATGGAGCGTGATTGTATAATCTTACGTGTAGCGAATCAGACCATTGTTTGGAACTTCGTTGATCCATCTTCGCATTGGCATGCCGGAGGGCTCAGCCAAAATGGCTGGGAATTGACCCATAAAGAACGAAGCACCCTAGGAATCGCTCAGTCGAGTTCAACTTATCTCCTAGGACTTCCACGTACTGGAGGGCTTGGTAGATGCCGCAAGGGGCTGAAAAATTTGGGGTATAGAATGATGGAATAGAACGCATACACAAGCCATTGCAGAAGGAAAAGCGGTACAGCCGTCCAAATGTATGAGCCACCAACCGAGTACTCTGGTGCAAGCTGGACGAGAAAGATGGAAGAAGCTATAGAAGTGCCAGCCCAAAATCGGTAGGTGCTCATGAAGTTTGTATTCATTTTTTCCACCATTTCGACAACGGTGTACGTGAAAAGGCAGGCAGCCTCGATCAGTCACAAACAATTAGATCAAGGTTTCTTTGTCTTGTGCCAGATGGAAAGCTATAGAAAAACTTCTGGGAGACTTAGGAAGCACAAAGAAACAAAGAGGGCAATGATCAACTTGATGACGAGCAGACCCAAAATGCTGATGCCTGTAGCCTGAAACTAGCCGAGGTCGAATTTCAAAGAAGACGAGCGTGCACCAACGAGCTCATGGAGTTTATAGGGGTTGAGCTCGCCCTGAGGAGGGATATCTAGATTTTGGCCAAACAAGCCCATCATGAACCGTGCCACTACTAAGGCAGACACGTACTTGATACGAGATACGAGGTTAAAACAATACGCGAATTCTGTGCGGTTGCGGACGATGTTCTTTCCGGGGTCCAATGCAAATTGGTCCGGCGGCATTATTCTCTCCGTGTCCAAGGATCCCCCTGCATAAAAACACGTTCCAGATTTCAAGCAGCCCAGACAGGTCATTAGGAACACCCCCGCAGCTACGAAATAGTGAAGGTAGGATCATGGATGAGCATGAATGTAGATATACCTTGTGCAATTGATGTATAAGTCTATTTCAGGTGAGGTCCATGCAATCCTCATCTATTTTCGATAACCCCTTTCCGAATTCTACAATATCGTTCCAAGACTGAAGCGCCATGTCAGCAAATGAACTTCCCGCGAGATCTCCATTGGAAAAGAATTCTTCTGCAATTGGTGAAAGGGCGGACTCTTTTTTGCCAGACCGTTTCTCGGCCGATTTGGCCACCCTGTCAAAGACGGCGGAGTTGTTTTTGACAGACAGGGTCTTGGTGGCAGAGGATTTGGTACCTATCTTTGTATTGATCTGGAGGTCTGCACTTCTCAGCTTCGACTTCTTATCCCGCTCGCCAGGAACGGTTGCAAGGATCGAATCAAAGGTGACAGTCTCTGATACATCCCTCTTCTCGTACAGCAACGAAGAGATATTAGACCCTTCCGGCATGAGAGAGGCTGACGGCCCGTCTCCTTTCTTTTCAGTCATCACCGTGTCTTCAAAGGATGTATGGCTGGAGGCATATCTGCATTGGCCTGGGAATTCACACTTTTGGCAACCTCTTGGGCGGGATTTAATTTCAATCCCATTCTCCAAGTTGCCGAGTACCTTTCTTTTCCACTCTCCCCACTCCCTCCAACCAATGTAATCAAACTCACTTGAACAGCTCTGGCCTCTCTTCTTCTTTTTCAGATTTGGCCGATCCGTTTCCCCAGAACAATAGAAATGACCATCGTGTAAACAACGCCTGGTCACGCCAAGAGGGTATCGTGTTCTGCAAAGGTGGCATTGCCAGATCCAAGCCAATGGTTTCACAGGCTCCGGGGGAAGATGAGCAGACTTTGGAGCACCAGCAATGCTTGTCTCGTTAGGCCCAAAGATGCGGGAGAGGTCGAAAGCTGTCACTTTAGAAAAGGTTGGGGATGTTGGAACATAGGTTGGAGTACGGGGAGATCGAATATCGTCGTCTATAGGTGCCCCATAAGTTCCGTCCATCATCGTGCTTGGGGGGGCAACATCTTTCATCTCAAGGTCAAGACTGGGTTTTTGCATGCTCGCTATATTCTTGTAGGGTTGTGAAATAGCGATGAGATTGTATTCAAGTCTGTGGTGGCAGTGATAAAAGAAATGCATGGAGGAAGAACGCTGGAGAGCTGTCACCACGTGCTTGCATCAAAACTCGCAAGAAGAATTTCGAATCAAAGAATCTTGCCACAAGAATATCGGATGTTACCAGAATAGAAATCATTGTCTCTCCAGCCTTTGTGCTCTCTCCGGATGAAGAAGTCAAAGTGGATACCTTTGAGAGTAGCTTCCCAGAATCTGTATAAGCCGTATAAGATTGATGGGCTTTGAAAGCGGATTCTGTATATCTCCACTTGCATGAGAATAACATCGAGTCATGGATATACATCGTGTGCGTGTGTGTCCTGGCGTGTACAATACTACTCGGACTCTCATTCCCGGACATTCATCGGTAGGTGTCCGAGGTCGAGACTGGCTTGATATCTCCCTCAAGCTACGAAGAAAGAAGCCCACAAAAACTATGAGCCAGTATCATCAATCAGGTCTCCTGAGCGAAAAAATAATACAGAGGATTACTGCCAACATTGCAAGCACAATGAAGTGGATATGCTAAGACTGGACTAGCGGCGCCTGATCCTCGTGGCTGGGAATCTTGGCGTGGCTGGGAGATCAACACCACAGCTGTTTGGCTTCTACACGGAGTACCTGTGTTCCACTCCCCCACCAACCTCTTCGGTGGAGATGTCGAGGCTGGGACGCGAATTTGGAGGACATGCTACAAATATGACTGTTCGTGCCCTGTGCAGATTACTTGTTCGATCTCTCAACTGCACATAGATTACACCGCACTGACCAACAGCGTGTTGACACGAATCTATGAACTGATGACTGCATTTGCATTTGACTGTTCTTTCAAACTATTCATACTTACTGATTATTTTTGACTTCACCGATTCAAACATTTTGTCTCAAAGTAGACGTTGAGCAACTCCAGCCAAGCTTGAGGGAGGACCGCGAAGTCATAACAGTTGATTCTACAAAAGACATCCTGGAGACATCTTCCTCGCATTTGCCTACGTCCTCTCGCCCTATTGCTTCTCGTGTAAGCATCTCACAACCAGTACTGCTGACACCGCTACCACCGAGCTCAACGTTTGCCCAATCGGGACGTCTATCACCATCTCCGCGCTCTCCTCTACCACACCAACCGACACACTCTAGCACAGTCCTCCGAAGAGCAATCAAATATCATTCCGAGACTCAGTCCCTCGAGCCCAGTTTCGTGACCACGCATAATCAATCATCATGACGAGGGCCAACATTGTCATCGCGATTATCGTGATATGCTTGTTTGTCGTGCTTGCAATAGTGGGCTGGGGAATTTACGCCATTCAAAACAGAGTGAGCCTGTTCGCCAAGAAGCAAGAAATAATTGATGAGGAGGAATGAGTGAGAGCGGCGGGAATCTTAGCAAGGATTTGGAAGCGAAAATTTTTTACTTTGTTGCATACTGAACGGGAAGGACCTGGAGTTCAAAGGGAGATTGGGCACAACTGCCTCTTGTTTGCATCCGGACCAATAGAGTCTGCGCTTGCTATACCCGAGGATGATGTTACGAGGAAATATATGGAAATCGGTTTTGGAAAGGTTCTCATACAAAGATCACTTATCTCAGTAATATGTTTAAGAGACAATTAAGAAGGCATGAAAGAGGTGTGCCATGATATCCTCTTATCTCAAATTCATGAGCTGTATCTTACCCCCACAGCCTTTACAAACCCCAGTTTCCACAAGCAAAATGATAAACCGCAAGCCAACAATCTTATCAGGCTTGCTCTTGGTACTGCCTGCTCTACCCGCCTTCCTCATAACCCGGCCACATTATCACTGACAGCCAAAACCCAAAGTTACGTCTGATGTCTACCTACCCTCGATGCAATAATGATAACACCACCATCGTTCTCATCGCCACGAAAGAGAGCAGAAGTCAACCTGGCGAGGCACATGTCAAGTAATGGCGCCTCGAGGGATAAGTCCCAGAAAGAGATGTGGAGGTAGATGAGGGCTGGGAGGATGTCCGATTCGCTAGGGGTGGTCCAGAGGAGTGTGTGGGATGAGGGGGAGGAGTCTTTGGACAACTTGCAGAGGAGGAGGCGGTAGTGGTGGTGCCGCTCGGTTAGGTAGATGAGGTCACTTGTTGTACCGTCGCTTGTTGGTGGCGCATTGGTGGAGGAGATGGGGGATGGGAGGGCGCGGAGCTCGTGGTGCATTTGGAGGAGTTGGTTTGTGCAAGTGTAGGGGAAATAAGGGGGAGGAAAGGCTACGGAAATTGGTAGTTGGCAGGATAGAAAAGAATGGGGTGTGATGTCAGATATTGATAGGGAGGTTGGCATGAGCCCTACAATTGGCTTTGAGTGCGTTGATAGGTTGAAGCAAGGTTGAGAGTGCATGTATCGCGTTGGAAAGATCAACCTTCATTTTGCGATTTGGAGTCAGATATCATGCTCGCTCAATATAGATTTATCGAGGATGGCTTTGAGGAACCTTACCAGAATATCAACCTCTCCAATGTCTCGACAAACTGAGTGCGCTTAGCTCTCCTTCATATCCACCATTCGCTGCAGGCCATCCATATGCAGATTAGAAAGATCGACATTTCCCAACTGGTACTGTTGCCCGAGATGATATCTTGACTTCTTTCCTGATTAATCACTCAATGGGCAAGTTTCCCACTGATCTCGAAGAGAATCAGACATGCCACAGCTTCAATTGTGACACCATTAACACTCTGCATGGGATCAGCTACCCTCTCGTTGACCAGCATGATTGTCTCCCTCCTTATTTGGAATGGTTCCAAGAGATCCATCTTACCGCTTAGCATGATATCGTGTGCGGTGGCGTGTAGCATGGTCGTGTGGAAGAGTGTTAAGTCTGGGATTGCGTGGTTGAACCATTTGTCTTTTAGATTGACGGGGAGTAGAGTATTGATAGAGACATTGTTGTCTGGTCCATTGTATCCTGCAATTAAGGATGGAAATAAAGCCGGAAAGGTATAAGAAACCTCACGAGCTCACAATGATGCATTAGAGCTTGCAAGGCTGGGATACAATCGATGACAAGACGTCGAAAGGGTCTGCTGTAATTGTATGTACTGGACTGGGAATTCGGTTACCCGTCATCTGATAGGGGATTGTATCCTGGGCTTTGGCATGAGCTTCACTGGGAGAAATCTCGTCACGCTGACAGGAGGGATTCGAAAGAGTTTGGGAGGGCAAAATGGCCCTGTGACCTGAGTTCCTCCGTACTCTGCGCTACTGTTTCTGACACCTAGTTGAACTTGGGGAGATTCACCAGTTTGGATGTTCCCGCGTCCGGAATACACTCGCCTCTTCATTTCTTCAGGGAATTGATAGCTAACTGGGTCGAGAAGTGACTGGTACAAAAAGCCTTCGACCCTCCATGGGAGAAATGCTCTCATCTTCTCCTGTGGGTTGTCGAATACTTCTTGAGCTCCATCCACCACGTTCTCTAGCTGAGATTTAGACGCTAGGTTTACCTTCTCGCCAGGTCTCAGGCCATATCGCAAGTCTTCCCCGTTCTGTTCTTTATGTACGTGCATTTGTTGCCGGAAGTCTTACATCACGTGGGCGCGGACCTTTTGTCGAGTATTAACGTCTGGGATTAGGCCAGTTAATCTGTTTAGATGAATAAACTATAGCTGTTTAGAGGAAATTGGGATGATGGTGTTTGGAATAGCAGGATGCGAGCTGTGAATGAATGGTGCTCTGGGTTGGTCTCTTGTTGTCAGTCATTCATCTTCCACACGACGGGACGAGGTGGTGGCAGAGAAGGCCTCTCCTTTGGTATGAGTCACTGTGCGCACTGTTCCAGCCCAACCTAATGTCGTTGGTTTTTTTGAGATAACTATCAGAACCACATAGAGGCCGGCGGGTTTTCAGAGAGTCAGTTTCAAGTGGCGGAAATCGAGCGGCGACTAGTTAAGCTCCAAGGATGGTACAGGCTTCCATTGATTCAGAGAAATTTTAGCTTCTCGAGGCTGTACGTAGTACGTAGTATGTAGTAGATGATAACGTACTCCGTAGGTGGACCAGCAATGCAATACCTTTCCTTAAATTCATGATTTAGCTAAGAGTTCTAGGGTTAGTCTGGCCTCGGCATTGCATTGCATTGCGGGTACTTTTGCATTGCTGGTCCACTTACATTACAATTTTTGCCGACGCCAACAGAAAACGAAAGCGCTCGTACAGGGGTTATTGACGAACTTTCCGGTTTATAGATATTTGAAGTTCTCACAGGATGCACTCAGCAAGCGCAACTGGATAACAAGGCGAAGCTCAAGGAAAGACAAGCCTCTCCCGTTCGAGCAGTCATATGGCTGGGCTGACGATAGCCAGTCAACATAGGTTTATGGAGTACTTTGTGCAATATTCGGATCTAGGTAGTAAACGTCACTCGAGTACTAGTTGCTGACTAGTGTTTACTTTAGAGTGTTGCTTGTCCACGCGCAGGTCAGCAGACAGCCCATTCCTCAAGCTCTAAGCTAATGCTCTCTTCACTTCTTGGAGGCATAATCGTAGACGCCGAATAAAGGGGTAATTTACGTCCAACATTTCTTGTGGGCAATCTGACCTTAGTTTCGGATCAAGCCTTCCGCGGTTAGGGGCATACTTTAACCGAGTTTGTTCTAATTCAGGGACCGGAGGCCCAAGATTTCAAGTTTACTCCACCTTGGTCCTGCTTCCCGGAATTTGAAAGTTGGGCACCACTCCAACTGCAACGCTCAATTTAAAATGACAGCAGAGGAGGGTGGTCAGGTATGACAAGCCCTAGGCGATACAATTATGACCAAATGGAGCGCATAGTCTTCTAAAGCATTGCCAAACACTCTGCGGACTTGACCCTTACTTTGTCCGAGAAATCTCACCAGCATTCGCTTAATTAGGCTTTCTGACAGCTTTTGCGACCCGGGCTGTACAATGCGAGTCGTCAGGTGGTTGACCCCTTATCCATGGAAGTGCCAGGAGGATCACCAAACCAATTACATGCCAGCCGCAATCTTCCCGCCACGGCTGTGATCGATTGGGTGGCAACAAATTTTCAAGGCGAGCGCTGGGGTTCAAGACGCGCGGGTGTTGATGAAACGGCCCCTGGTGAAACTGATCCTAGATTATGATACTAGCCACGCTTCGTGATAGACTTGCGTTAAACTCTAATTTAGCTCTTTGTCCAAGCGTTATCTCCTTTTTGTGCGTGTTGACAACGGATGAGCAGGAAACAGCCTAACAGGGTGGGTCCCTGCCTTTGTCGCTTACTACTGAGTCCCCCCTGATCGGGCTGGCCATAAAGCCTTGGTCATGCCCATATCTTCAGATGAATCTTCAAGCTTCAGTTAAGCATTTCATTCCTTAAGCAACACTCATTTTCACTTGGGCTGGTCCCTTGCCACTCATTTCAGACACGCATACAGAATGTCGCTCTCTGCCAAGTCACTCATTACCTCCCTCTCCCTCTCGCTTCTTAGCGCCCTCCCCTCGCTCGTCTCCGCCCATGGCCACGTGACGAACATCAAAATCCAAGGGCAAGAATTTCCCGGATTCCCTTCAGACAATCCCTACGGAGCTCCATACTCGACAATCGCCTGGTCGGTCAACGTTCCTGACAACACTTTCGTTCGCGAATACAGCAATCCAGATATCATCTGCCACAAACAAGCTGTCCCGGGGACATCTTCTGCTACCGTAGAGGCTGGTGGCAGCGTTGAATTTCAGTGGACAGCATGGCCGACACATCAAGGACCAGTAGTCGACTACATGGCTGAATGTCCTGGCAAATGCGAGGACGTCGACAAGACACAACTCAAATGGTTCAAAGTTGCTGAACAGGGCCTGATAAGTACGACCGGTTGCAATGTCAAGGGCAACACTGGTTGCTGGGCCCTGGACAAGTTGATTCAGGCAGGCAACAAATGGTCAGTGCAGGTACCAGCGGGTCTTAAGGCGGGAAACTACGTCATGAGGCACGAAGTCATCAACCTAGACTTTCCTGGACAGTCGCAAAACTACCCTGCTTGTATCAACCTGGTTGTCACAGGGGGTGGATCGAGCGTGCCAGACGGTGTTGTGGGTACTTCGCTGTACACTGGGCAGGAGGAGGGTCTGAACTTCATCATCTACGATATGAAAAGCGATGCAACCTATCCCATCCCTGGACCACCCGTTGCTACCATGGATGGCGGATCCGGTGACACTTATGGAAGCGATATTGCTCCCGTGGACGACGGATCCGGTGACACCTATGGAAGCGACGTTGCTGCTTCGGTAGGCGATGACACGACTTCGGCAGGTGCCGTCAGTGAGTGCTCAAGCGGAAAGCTGAAGGTTAGAGCTCGCAAATGGGTGGCGTGAGTCACACATTTAAGGGAGTGAGATGATGTTCTTTTCAGGGTTTACAGTTCAGATACACCTTATGTGTGTTTGCACATATACTTTCAAACATTGCCTTAGATGGCCTCTTTTGGAGAAAAGTTGATTATGTGTTGAATCCCTCTTCTATCGTGTGGAGAACAGTATTTGTAGGGAAAATTATTCAACTTTGCTAGCTTCGATGGTGATCGATCTAGCCAAACCATCCACAGGATGAACGACTTTGATTCATGTCATGACGACCTACGTGAATCGGAGCATGTCTAACTTCATTCGTACACCAATTGGAAAGCCACTTGGACTTCGCTAGAGACGGTTACTGTTCCGTCTCGGTGGGACTTGGACAGTCGGCGGATAATTTGAAATATTCCAGAAAGACTCTCAGCTAAGAAGGGTTAACCGGGACGATCCTCCATCCCGGCTTCATTGAAGTTCATCTGCCCTTCTATGAAAAGTGAAGCGGCTGTAACGATTGTCGCGCGATCGACCACAAAAAGCGCCTGCCTATCTCGATGGTCTTCAACCCTCGTGGCGGCCAGTATTTGAGTCATCACGTCATCGAGGCTGACCATGACTTGATACTGCTGACTTACTAGTATGACTTACTACGCTACAGGCCTAATTTTTGTATACCCCCCTGGTCAAAATATCTTACAAACGACTTTTTTACTTACACATCCTGTCAACATCCCTGTCACTATTTTGCACGAATTTTTGCTCATCCTGCAATCCTAAATTGGATACAAGAGCGCTATGGAGATACCCTACACAAGTACGACGAGGTACAAGCGGCTGTTAATGCTGCATAAGATGCTGTGCCTTTTGACTATCGTAAGAAGCTGCTTCAGTCGATGCAGGCGAGATGTCAAGCAATTATAGATGCCGATGGAATGCAAACTCGATTTTAGAGGCTAGTCCTATTTGAGCCATTTTTGGGCGTTTATACTCAATTCTACATAGTACGTTTTTTACGGATACTAGCATTTTCAGCAAGGGGGGTACAAACATTAGGCCTGCAGCCGTATTATTAGTGGAGCAGACTATGACGGCGGTGGCAGTACTAAATACTACTTTATTGATCTTACCGGTAAGAGGACACTAGGTTCTTGGCGGGTGCATGCAAGCCATATGTCACGTGGGATACGTTAGCTCCGCTTGGCACTACCTCTATTAGATTAGCTCTTGCTGCTGCTCGGCAGTTTCTTCTCCTCCCATCCACTCTAGAATCAATTAAATTGCTTATAACTATTGCACCACACTTGCCACTACTTAGTACGCTTTGCAAGGCTGAAACTGAAATGCTTATCAAAAAAAATCAGCATGATGTACCACTGGCAGAATGTCTGAAACGTACCTTAGCTGGGCCTGTTGTGAAGCTGATTCTTTAGATGTTGATGATCGTATTCTAGCTGTGCTGAGATTGAGATTGCACAACTTGGCTGATCTTTCCATGGAAGTACCAATTCCTCGGGCCGTTGCTTTGGTGCGCTTTTGACTTTCAGATCCCATGGGCCCGGTTCATCGACAAACCTTAATTCAAAACTCGTGCTACGGGTACTACCACATCGACGTCGATCATTGTTCCCTAGACAAATTAGCCCGTCGATGTGGCGTGGATGCTTACGATCATCATCCGAGATCTCGTGCCATACGTTCCGCTGCCACGCCAATGACCATCGATTCGGATCCAGGCACACCCTCTCCACAATGCAGACACAGACCTTGTTCTCACCCTTTCAGTCAAAATCCATTCACACTCTCGAGGGAATGGATTTGTTCTACGCCGCCATAACCTATGGATCTAGAGTTATGGCTGCTTTGAGATGCCGACTCTTCATCTAGAGGGAGCCAAGGGTAAACCAGAGCACCTGCCTAATTTGAGATGGGAGGCCTGAACGTCAGAAGAGAGCTTTTGAACCGGCGGTAGCATCCCTGCTTAGCTGCGGATAGAGCGAGTTCCGCGAGCTGGGTGAGTAATCGTCTGGAGCAATGACTACTCCGTACCTCACGTGGAAAGGGCAAGATCTGCAGCGATTGATGCGGAGAAAAGCAGCAATTCTTCCGCTCCATAGGCACAAAAAGCCACCCGCTCAACATCTTACTTGGCGTGGGCCAGATTTCGAATCCAAGTTTTGGTGCATATCTCACGTGGCTCTAATTTGCTCGATGTTATTGGTCCTCTTCTCTTCGACTGCAAGACCGCTACCACCTTACATTATCCGCAGTGACAGTGAGGCTGATCGCGCTTCACGCGAGCAAGGTGTTCTCAATCGCTGGCACAATGTCCGGAGTGACCGCCCGGAAAGATTCGCCGGATGTGAAACACGACACATGGCGATCTCGGCACGGTGGCCTGTGCGCTGAGAGAAGGTTACGTCGACCTCGTGGCTACGAGTTCTTTGAGCCAGCAAAAGTGCTGCGTACTAGCTCGCTAATGCATTTCTTTCAATATTTCTCGCAGCAGAACAAAGGCCCATGGTTTCACGGCAGGAAGCCACCTCCTTAGTCTACTGCCCTGCATGCCTCTCCGTGCAACTCACTGCAACTACCTTTGACTTCTGGCGGTGAGGATATAGTGCTATCATCTTCAAACGCTCCCTACCAGTCCGTCCATCTTTCGACAGAAATGGTTCCGGTAGCTGTGTGGCACAGCTCGAGCAGTCGTATACCGTGTGGTCACAAGACTTTTGCTGCATCACTGCTTTCAATGGCTTCTATCAGTCGTGGCCCTTTTCATTGGCCACGATTTGATTCTTTACCATGCACTCGCCTTATTTAACTCTTTCGGACCACATTTGTCAGATGAGATCCCGCTACGGAAAGCCATGTCTCTTAGCAGCAGTTTCTTGTCCTCCTCCCATGATAGTTTCTTTCCGGCAGATGCCGTTCGTTGATCTTGTACGTCACTGTCTTCTTACACGCAGTCTTATTGTTGATCAACCATCGGCACAATGCTGATAGCTCTTGGCTATGATAAGCACTTCTATATATAACTAGTAATTGGGTGTATCGATAGTGTCAAAGGACTTTGTTCCGATTCTCTGGCTGCATACGCAGACGCATCTCGACCCTTCTTTCTCCACAGACGGGGCAAGGTTGTGAGACCACTGAGCAAAATGATGTGGTCGTACCAAGACTAACCTGCTAGATCCTGACTTCAAGGCTGCATTAGTCTACAACAATCTTTACCGGGACACTGGTACTACAGGTCTCCAAGACCGTAGCCATGTTGATCACTTTGTGGATAGGTAGCTTTCGGTGGTTTCCGAGACACTGCATATGACAACGGCGCAACGCAAGCTGAACGCTGGAAAATACGTATGTGCAGTCTGAAGACTGGCATATAGAGGTGAGCATTCGACATTTTCTCGATTGATTTCTTAGTCTTCATAGGCTCTCCCCAAGAGGTTCATGCTCAGCATAGAACAAGGCCACCAATATCGAACTAACATCTGAGTCGTGTGCGTTTATAGCATTGGCCACTCCGCTACACTCCCATTGATCCGACCTATCAGCCTCCCAATCACCCTAGTCATAGCTAGCTCCTATCGCTACTCAGCCATCTAGAGCTTGACATCATAATCCCTGCGTCCATGGCGACTCATTCGTATGCCCATCAGCAGACGGACAGTCAGCAGAGCGAAGATCATTTATACGGCTCTGGCAATATAGCCTTTAATCAACGACGCCTCATGCACCCCAGAAACTCTGCTGAATGTACTTCATCTAGTGGATCTTGCTCGAGCCCTGGGCCATCACAGCAGCCGCAAAGACAGTTTCAGGACATTCTACCATTTCGTCAAAAGTAAGTGTATAGCATAAATATGATGTTACTTCGTAACATGGTGATACGCTGCAGCCCTCGTCTGACCGTGGTAACCAGCTTTGCCGCATCAGCTCCCAGCTCGAACGGTACGTACAGTCAGGCAGGATCGGACCACTATAGCTATATCTCAGGCTCCACCCCCGGCAGTCACACGCCCAAGTCATCTACATCTCCACCAATGAATCCCGGCTACAGCACCTCTGCAGCCAAGAAGCAGCGATACTGGCTTCATATCCGGCAGCAGCCACGAGCCGGCCGCGCCTGCTCCAACGGTCGAGACCGGCGCGCCGTAGATCCCCCGCCCGTCCTGCAACTGCAGATATCGGACTTCGACCCCAACTCTCCCGCCGACATCGAAGACATGCAGGATCAATCCTTCATCGTGCATTGTCTCCTCTGTACGGCATCCGGCCCGGCACAAGACATCTCCGTCGTGATGTGCCAAGACGACAACAGCAGCGGCCAGAAAGCCGAAAAACAGATCAACGGCAACCTGGACGCCAGCCCATTCTTCTGTGACGAAGATCCAGACCCGCACACCGCGCCGCCCCATCCCTCGTCACAGCTGTACTACCCCGCACAGACGATACCGCCTTCGCACGCGTCGGGAAGGAATCTGCCCGCCACCTTCTTCTACTTTGCCGACCTCTCCATTCGCAGGGCGGGCGTGTACCGCCTGGAGTTCCAGCTCATGAGACTGAAGATGGATGGAACCCCGCTGCCCATCTTGCACTCGGTCCTCAGCGAGCCTTTTAATGTGGTCAACGCCAAGGATTTCGATCACGTGCAGCCAAGCACGCCGCTGGTGAGGGGGTTGGTGGCGAGCGGAGCTGGCTTTCCCTTGAAGTTGAAGCAGGGCTCTAGGGCGCAGAGGACGTCGCCTGATGAGTAGATCTCATGTTCATTGGGGGAAATTGGTTCGGATTTGGGACATTGTAGAAACAAGCAAGATGGTGCTTCTTCGTCATGCCTGCACATCGATATAGGCGCGTTGGGAGAGGAACTGTGTTGCATGTAACCTGGCGTCCCCTTTGATGGGTAATGACGCCTTGTTTACAGCATGCTGGATGCATATTTCCCGTACCGGTTGGTCGCTGCTGGCTGTCTAGCAACGTCTTCGTACGATTCTTTTTAGTCAAAGCCCAACCTGAAGCTGAGAGCTCCATATCCGGGGAGTGGCATATGTATGTGGGGATGGATGGATGGATATGCTGAGGTTGCTTTTGAAGCTGAAAGCGCGATATCTGCGAAGCGGCACATGTATTTGAGCTGATTGTACGTGCTGGGTATTTTCTACCTAACGACTTGGAATTGCTGCTCTCGATGAAATATGGGTTTCCATGTGGTATATCCCACTTCTGACTCTCTGAGACATATTTTTTTTATAATTTCTGACCGATCTAAACACTCAGCCATCGCCGAGGGGAGAAGATAGAGGGACTATCGGACCTCCGAGGAAGGCCTCGGAAGTAATCTTCTGCTCCTGCAGATTGACCAGGTCCTGGACGTCCCAGTGCTGGATGAGAGGGACAAGTTCTCTGAACCCCCGTTTCTTCTCCACATCCTCAATGTCGACCCTTTGATCAATCTGTTTGAGTCCCTCCTGCAGATACTTCAAACCTCCGAGTCTGTCGCCATGTTCACGGAGCACCATCGCCATCCCAGCCCAGACTTTTGCTGCACGGTCCGGTTTAGCAAAGTGGGCGAACATTTCCAGCCATGCAAACCCGATTCGCGAGTCATGGGCATTTGAGGCCTCTCCTCCGTCGGGAAACCAGCCATGGATACCCAGATGGTAGACTCCAATGTCGCGCATCGACTGTAGTTCTCCTCCCATCGCTCCTTTAGTGGCGTATCGCAACCAATACTCGCTGCCTAGTGGAACGAGTGGAGTTTGGGCATGTAGTGCACACGCCTCGGGATCATCCCAGACCAAAGCCCCGTATTGCAGAGCGCGGTGCATGTATTCCATGCTTCTGTTCGAGTCCTTTAATGCCTCAAGCCATGTCCTCCACGGCAGGGGAAGGGCAGCACCTTTTTCTCCTTCTGCCCTCGGTCGCCCAGGCTCGGTCATCCGGCAGAGTTCCACGGCCAGTGCTAGCGACTCATGGCTTTGCTTCATGAGCCGCAAATTTCTTGCACAAAGCGTCATGGCTCGTGGGTCTTTGCCGTGGGCCGCTAGGTCCGCAATTCCCGCTAAGACCCATTCCGAGGCGTGGGAGGGGCCGATGCCCCTGGAGAAGTCCCGTTCGCCGAGGAACATGATCGCCCCTTCGTGCTTCATTGCCACAGCAATTTCCAATAGAGTGACGCCCAGATTGTCCCATCGTGGTACCTTTTTAAGCAGATATTGGCCAATAAATGCCAGGACATCCGCTGGGACAGGTAAGGGGTATCCGCATCCTTCTCGATCTGCAAGGTTGTCAGTCCTACCGCACGGACGGGGATGCTACCGTGTATGAGACTCTGGGCTCAAGAGTGTGCTAGGGCAGCTACAGATCTCACTTTGATGGGGAAGATGGCCCGGGTAGTACTTGCACTTACCGGTGTCACCCAAATAGCCCACAATTTCCCGTGTGTCCCACTGTTCCTCCAACGCATTTAAGACATCAACACAGAGCCACTGCCTCGCAGTGGCATCATAGCCAGTTTGTTCTAGTTCGAGAGTATCCAGAGGATTATAACCCCATGTTTTATCCATACGCAAGTCGAGGTTCTTGAGATAGACTTTAACCCCAGCATCATCATCATCATCATCCCCAAATTCTCCTATGGATGCTTGACGTTTGTCCTCTGTCCTCCGCAAGCGTGCCGGTTTCCTCTTTGAAGATAAGCGAACTGTCGGTCGCGAGGGCCGATTAATCTGTTGTTGCGTACACACGGAGAAGGGAGACAAGGGTGTAAAGGGGCTGTAGCAGCGTTCTTTGATTGTCATGCCGGGACTAATTCTTGCAAGGGCGAAAGGGATCTTGCACATTGGCAGGGGACGAGGAGGCATGGCTGGGGTTTGAGGCGTGCAGCTGGAGACGCATGCGCTGGATATCCTGCCATCGATGCAATCTCGGAAGACCGCACGTCGTTTTGGAAACGGGCCCAGGGCTTGGAGACCACCAGAAGGTGTTGTTACGAGCACAGTGGCGCCATAGGCAGATGTAAGTAATCAACTCGACTCCAGACCATCAATTGATCAATTGATGGTCAGTATAAATTCTAACTCAGGCGGCTGCGACTGCAAATACACTGGGACATTGTTGACGCTACAATAGAAAGGACAATTTGCTTGAGTTTCATATGTATCTCGTGCATGGATCTTAGTCATGTGATGCATAAAGGCTTGGCATTGAAACTGCGGTTGCCGCAAGAGGAAGTCCTGGTCCAGGTATACAGTAGTATACGACAAAGTCCTGTTGTAATCGTAATTTCCCACCTTCGATTTAGCTGCTCTATCTACGACACTGGCCAATACACTGCAGATCCTAGCCGTAGCCCTGACAAGATCTTCTTCAGTTATGACGTTGCCTTCCGACTCCTTGCTCGACAGCACTGGCCCGGAATTCCTTAAATAGACCGCCTACCTTCTCTATCTCGACTCAGACGATCATATGGATACATGTCCTCTACTACCACTCAGCACCTGTTTGTGTGCCGCGCCTCCTGCAACATGCCCGCTTGGCTCCCAGAGAGCTGTTTGTACGCGGCAATTGGTAACCATCTCCTGTTGTCATACCGGACTACTCCGTGTTCGAATGTCGGCTGGGGTTCCTCCACCTCTTGCGGACGAAGTGATTGGGATAATCGTACAACTCCAACAGTAAATTCAAAACCCGAGCATTTCATGGCGGGTAAGGTTTCAGTTGGTGAGCTGAGTATAAGGAGTGCCTGTAACCAGGTTGGGCAGACGACGACCATATTGCCACATCTTATTATGATGACCCTAGGCTTGGAACCGTGGAATGATCCAGGTATTCAAGCTCGGAGCTGACGACCCCTATCACAATTTCTGACCTTGGGATCGGTTTTTCCATCGGCTTCTCCCTAGCTTCCCTCGGATCCTTGGAACTCTTCTATCGAATGGCGTGTAGTTCTTCGAGCCTCGCTTCTAGTTTTCTCATGAAAACGTGATCCTGGCCTTCAATCGTACATAGCCCTGCGATGGCTCGCTCAGAAACAGCGATCGCCTCGGGGATCTTGTTTTGCTCTTGATAACAATCGATCAAGAGCCCTCATGGCGATCAAGCGATCAGGGTGCTCCCCGTTCCTGGCGGCAGAACTAAGCTCGTACTTCTTAATCGTATCCACCAGAATATCCTCTGCTTCCCCATACCGTCTTTGCATGAGCAGCACTCGTCCGAGATGAGTTTTGCCATATAAAGTTCCAATATGCGTTTCACCAAGATTTTGTTTCGCTACAGCTAGACCATCGTACAGGAGCGCCTCCGCTTCTTCGAAATCACCACGATCTGCTTTAGTTCGAGCCAGATGGCACATTGCTAAGAGCGTGAATGGATGCTCTTTCCCCAGCTTTTCTTTCCGCTTTGCCAACACGTCAAGCATGATACTGTGCCCATCATCTCTGAGACTGCCACCAAGGTCATTGTATACCATTGCCAAGTTCTCCTGGGCTATGAGAGTGTCGGGATGGGTCGGGCCGAGCGTTTGGAACAGGCCTCTCGATGATTCTGTGAGTAACTCTCTAGTCTTTTCATACTCGAAATATTTGGAGTACACACAAGCAAGATTGTTCATAGCATTTAGCGTGTCAGGATGCAAACCGTCACATTGGTTGTGTCCAATGCAGATGGGTGCAAGGTTGTTTTTATGGCGTGCAAAAGCTGAATAGTTAATTTGGTGGGCCGCACAAGGAGAATGAAATGAGGTGTACGGAGTAGGCCATGATAAAATATGAGATTCTCACTCCAGTCTATTTCCTGGTGTAAGTGGATCAGTGCGCTATGGACAGCCCTACGGCGGACATTGTGTTAGGGGTCCAATCCGCTTGAGACCCAAGACTTTCTCACTGCTCGGGCTCGAGCCGCCATGCGTAGTCCCAATATAGGCCATTAGAACCTCTCGCCTCGTCGGGAGGCACGTTGTTTCTGAACAAAAGAGTTCCACATACAAACGGTACGAGGATCTTGGATGGCTGCGCCATACGTAGTAAGCGGCCTCAAGGGGTATATAGTAATTAGTGGAGAGTCGCTAAAGCTTAGGGTGGCATTGGGCCACGGCTACCCAGAAACAGGTAAAGCTCCATACTAGTAGTACAAGCGTATTGCACGTATCTTGGCGTGTACAATAATGTTCCTATCGTCGGATTCCCCTCCACATGGGCCAACACCCACGTACACATATCTTGATCTACCTACAGCCGCTTACCCTTATAAAGTGACGCACTTCGTCCACAGAGCTCCAGATAGCATAGCGGTAGCACCTTTTGCGGTTTGACCTACATCTGCTGCCATGCCAGCCACCTTGGAAAGCAAGAACATGGTTGAGGAAATATCTGAGATACCTGCGGTAGCGTCAGCTAAAGCTACGGAACAAGAAGAACAGCAAGACAGTGAAATCATTCCCAAAAATGGCACACGAGATCGCATCAGAGATCCGTCCAAATCTTCCCCACCCGCAATAGCTGCACCTCCATCCACTTCTCAAACCGACCGTATGGCGCGCTTCAAGGCTCTTCAGTCCCGCGCATCCGCTTCACAGAAGTCGAATTTGGCGGAAGCCCGCGCTGAAGCTTCTCGTTCATCGGTCGACCCATCTCTCCTCGCCAATCTTTCCCGTAAAGCCGCTGTAGCTTCGCATAATCTCTTGAAGGCAGATACAGAAGAAGAAGGTGGACTTGGTGCTTTCGAACGAAAGCGAGCTTGGGATTACACAGTAGAGGAGTCTGAGCGGTGGGATGAGAGGATGGAGAAGAAGGCGCGTCAGAGGGATAATGTTGCCTTCCAGGACTACAGCAGCGAAGCGGCCAAAATGTATGAGAGGCAAATCAAGAACCTAGAAAATATGGAGTTGAAAGGAGGGATCAGGAACCGGGAGGAGTACGAAGCTTCGAAGGCAGCGTTGATCGAGAAGGCAGCTCAAAGTGGTGGGCTGGATATTGTGGAGATGGAGGATGGAGAGCTGGTTGCCGTTGACAAGGACGGAACTTTTTATTCCACATCAGACACAGTCGAATTTGTAGAGAATCGACCGAAGAGGGAGAATGTGGACAGGCTGGTCAAGGATATGCAGAAGGCGGAGGACGCGAGGCTCAAAAGGAGGAGGGACCGACTCGGTGCTGATACCAATGATGGAGACATCACATATATCAACGATAAGAACAAGCAATTCAACCAGAAGCTGGCTAGATTCTACGATAGGTACACTGGGGATATCCGAGAAAGCTTCGAGAGAGGAACTGCAATATGAACGTCACCTTGAATGGGTTGCAGAAGAACACCGGTGTTACAAATTACGCTTGAACGTGCTGTGTTCTGGCGATTGGTTGCTGATTCTTGAGGTTCTCACGAAATGTGTGGTCTAAAGCCTCTATCTTTTCACCACAACATCCATAAAAATTCAGGCTCATTCTTTCCACCGAGCACAGCTAAATGGTAGTACATGCTACTTCTTCATTCATGGCTTCTTCAAACATACCCAACGACAGCAGCTTTACTTGGTCGAAGACAGGCCTGGGTGAAGCAACTTTCAATGGACTCGCCAGCCTCACCTCGATACGCAATGGTGGTGAGATCAGCTCAGTCGCAACTAACTTTGAAGACAGTGATGAGCTTCGGAGGATACTTCAGCCTCAAAATGGCGAGCTTGTTCCTCAAGAGACAGTGAAATCGGCGTTACTTGAAGCATTTTGCCAATTAGCTTCCAAGGATGATTCTGCCTGTCAGATTGCCAGTGCGGCGCTCATCGAGGGCAAGGATAGATGCGTCGTGGTGCTTGCACGCAACACCAGCTTTACCGAGGAAGAGAAGAAGCTTTTTCAAGAACTAGTAACAGAATTACATCCACTCTCACAACTTGCTGCATACGGTCCACTTGTAAGTCTACTTGTGTACTGGAAAAGACGTGTAAAACTGATGGGGGACAGGGCCTTGACCAAACAATTTCCTTAAGAACGAAAATACTCGACCTTCAACTGACTCAACTCCATGATCATTTGATTCCCAAAACACGTGAGGCATTGCGAGTACATGTTGTGGAGAGGACTGCTGCGCGTCCAATACTGATGACGCTACTCTCACCACATAAGGAGCTCACGAACGCGCTTCGGTCTCTGGTCGATACTTTTCAGTACGATGCCTCATACGCTGCCTCTCAACTACTTGCGGCATTCGATTTGGCATACGTCCCTTTCGCCAAATTACACCTACGAAATATCATTGGCGACAACCATATCACCAATGATCTCTGGAGCAACATTTGCTTGCTAAAAAGGCTGCCCAAAGCTTGGGGTATCATTCTTGAAGCGCTTGAAAAGCTGCCACAGCTTCGAGTCCTCGATATTGTCTGCCTGCAATCGCCAAACGTCACATCCACTCCACATAGTGAGCCACAATCCTTGAAGAGAACTCTCCGTCGGTGTGGCCTCTCTCCAGTTTCAACAGCTCTGCGCACTAACATCATTCGACATCTCAGCATGGAACAAGTCCTGGCTCTGCACGAAAAATTCCAGCGTCTTAAACCAATGATGCATGCTGAAGTACAAATCATTACTTATTTGCTGCAAAAGGGTTCCGATGGAGTGTTCGCCAACCTGGCCAGTAGCGCCAGACCTTGCTTCTTGTGCCATGACTTTGCTCAGCAATTTCAGCTCAAGACCCGGGATCCGGTTTTCAGCCAACACAGCGCCTGGATGGTTCCTGAAGTGCTAGATATTGGCTCTGACAAAGTCAATGTTCTTATCCAAGCTACACGTGCCATAGCAGCAAAATTAAAATCTCAGCTTTTGATCCCGATCACCGCTACCCCATCAAACCAAAATTGTGACCCAGGACGCTCCGGCGAATTCAAGCCATCTCTCGAGGGCAATGAGGATGATAAGAGCTCTAGTGCAGTCAACGAGGAATTCAAGTCGTGCGTAATTTCTGCCCTTACCTCAGCAAAACCTGGCTAATCCTAGACACTAAAGATTGGAGGAAGCTTTTGCTCGCTTGAGCCCAGGAAACAGCCTGTTACATACCCTGGATCGAATGCATGCCTCGAGCGGGTATGCTCTTTACGAGGCAGCCGAGCGTGACGAAATACCAAAGGATGACGAAGTCCACCACGGCTATGGCTTCTCCAAATTCACTCAAGATGAAGACAGAAAGATGCTCCTTGGTCTGTACAGAGACTCGGCGAACATGCTTATCCAACCCGGTGAAGTGAACAGATGGCGTGCTGAAGTAAGACTCGTCGCGAAAATCAAGGAGAAGTTCATGCAACGACCCGAGCACCTGCGTGGGGATCATTTCGCCTGGCTGTTGAGGAACGAGCATATGCTGGTTGAGCTGGACATGGAAAAGCGAGCTGGCGAGCCAGAACAGTAAGTCCGGCTCCAAAATACCATCAAATACCTCAGCACATACTGATGCGAGAAAGCACGGGCATGGTTTACTTTGACGCCTCGCCTCCGCGTCTTCCCGATACATCCAGCACGCGTAATTCCTCCACTGCGGAAGCCTTGTGGCAGACGATCGACGATGGCCTGCCCGGCGACGTCGACATACGCAGGGACTTTGGCTTCGATCGCTGTGTCTCGGTGCAGGAGGAGAGCAATCTCCTCGGTCTCTACAAAGGATTGTGCCTCGAGCGGGTGGACCCCCTCGCCGTACAAGCCTGGGTCATTGAAGGCAAGCTCGCGGAGAATATTCAGCTGTGGTTCGAAGCAAGACCTGCTGCTTATCGAGGTGCGTACTATCCTTGGATTCGGAGGAATCCGCATATCCTGGCATAGGGAAGACATGAGGTGGATGGAAGGATAGACAGCAACTGATGGTCAGAGACGTTTCTTGTGTCGGTTGCAATGGGTTTGGCGCTTCGCATTCACACCTTAGGTGCTGGTATGTGTAACTTTCATGCGGGCACGGGGGACAGCAAGAAAGGCGGCAGCGTTCAGATACAGATAGCTAACAAAGCCAGCCACAGACTTTTGTACTGTTGCAGACACAATGCATCAGCTCAGGCCCTGCCCTGCCCTGCCCTAACTGGTGCACTCCCTCGAAGACCTTTCTCATTCGAAAAAATCAACACCTCCCTCCTCAACTTCCCTACTCTATTCCCTCTCCCGACTCCTCCTTT